AATTCTGAAAAAATTCTTGGAATTCCATGAAGAGAAAATAAACGATGTCTTTTTCTAATCTTAAGAACTAGAAAAAGATGAAGAATAAATTGAACCGAGATTAAAGTTAATCTACATTGGTGGAAACGAATATAAATCATATAATTTTTTTGTATAACAAATACTTTTTTCTCTTTCATAGATTCGAAAATCCTTTTCCAGGATTAAAGTATACGCATTAATACTAATAATATTTTCGAGGTAGTTTTTTGCCGAGAACGACCAAAAATTTCGAAATTAATACATTTTTTATCAGAGTTGTGCCGTAGATTCTAAGATTACATCTATACGGATTATTTACGTGAAATCTACGTAATGTTTACATGGTCTTTTGTCACATAAACAATATAAATTATGTAGACTATGTAAAATGCACCAGTATGTTTTGTATAATATAAAAGAATTAAAAATTAAATTATAAAACAGTCTTTACACCTACAGAGTAGAATTGTTCAAAATACGCTTAGGAATAGCCTAAACAATACACGATATTAATGGAACGTACATGAACATTCTAAGAATATCTTATACATTCTTAAAATATTCTATGAACTTCTTTTGAAGTTTGATGCTGTTCAGGAGATTATAAAAATATACGGCGATATCTTAATTTAGAATATTCCTGTGATGCATTTTGCATTTTTCAGCTATGTGGACACACATACATATTCTCACTATAAATATAAATTATATAAATACCAATTATATAAATAAAAAATTATGTAAATATTTATTAAATCCATAAATTATGTGGACTCTAACTTTTTTAGTAAACGTTTATAAATTTTCAAAATTCTAAGAATCAAATTAAGAAAAGTAAAAACTTTCATTATTACTTTTGTTGTAATAAACACAATGTGCATAATATTTATTGTTTCTTTTTTATTAAAGTAAAATCCAAATTCATTAAATTCATTATTTATTTTTTATGGCATATGTTCGAGGCAACGAATTGTTATATTAAAAAATCCAGTTTGTAAATTTTAAGATAAAATAGATGCCCTCCCCCCCTCCGTAATCGTCACATTAACTAAAACGATTGACTTTACAAATTTATATTTTTCAGATTGAAAAGTGAGTGACTGTTATTTTAAGTTATTTTAAATCAATTTTTCGTGACGAATAAAAACGTCACTCTAACATTCTTATACCTATTGCCGTTGTTGAGAAAGTCTTTCTTAAAAATTAGAAGGCACAAATGAACGAGTTATCGCCATGCCGTGATAATAGTTTGCCCAATAATCGCCATGAGTATGTCCCATAAATCACCATATATGATATTAAGTATACACGAACTACAGAATGATTCAGATATATAAATCAATATATATATACATATATATATAT